ATACATAGCCATTACATGGCATTAAAAGTTATTTAACTAGCGAATTTCAAAAACTTCTGATAGCAAAGTTTTAATAATAAGTCGTGATTAAAAAATCACTTTAATCATGAGATATGTCTTCAAAAATACATTTTAAGCAATAAAAAAATAATTAAATCGATTATGTTTGAGTAATTAGCAAAGTATCCGAAACGATTTGACTCGGGTCTCGGCGAAAGTAGCTAGGGGCGGCGCCTGCGCCGGTCGCCGATACAAGTGAAAGTGGCAACGAAAGCAGAGTGCGGAAGAACTGCTTTCTTGCGTTACCCCCGACCACTTTAGTATCCTGTTTTAACAAGTATACTCTGTGTGTATTGGCTAAGGTATCGAAGGTAAAAATTTCAAACACCCTCTATATTCCTCATATTCCACACAGATGTTTAACAGCCTAAATCCAAACTAATAATATAAATGCGAAAGTAACTGTCTGTTTGTCTTTTCTTCAAGCCTAAACTACTGAACCTATTTTTGTGATATTTAGTACAGACATAGGTTGGAACTCGAGAAAGGACATAGGATAGTTTTTAAACCGAAAATCTGCAGGAACTCACAATTCCACGCAAACAAAGTTGCGGACACAAGCTAGTTGTTAATAACTTAAGTTAATCCAAAATGTCAACCTAAGTTTTAATAGTAATAGCACAGATCGACCTTAATCCAAAGTTTTGGATTGAGACTGGTTGTTTGTTTCAGCGTTAATGACCCTTGAAGGACATATGCATGTGAAATACACATACCTAAGTACCTGCAGTATAGTGTTGACAAACCGCTATAGAACGTATCGCTGGATCAATTTTCTCACATAACCTACAACTTTCATATATCCGCAAATTATAATCCCAGAATGCGTAGTGCTAATTTGCTTTGTTTACATTGTTATGACGTTTATGACGTTCTGCGCTCTGATTGGTCTGCTACAAGCAAACCAACCAATTAGAGGGTAACATATCGATCGCGTTAACGTATAGCAAACTCGCACTAAGCACACTGGTGTAGCAAGTTATGAGTGTGAAACATAACATCACTAAGGATTTTAAAACACCGCATTGTTTGACTACTTAAATAAAAATTACCTGGACAAAGGATAATTACTGATTACAATTGAATAATACAGATATTCGCTCGACACATGCGCACGCGCATATTACACGACACGACCCAAAATTATAAAGCCTAAAATACCTTCATGTTAATGTTAATTATTATTCTAGATATGTAGAACTTGATAACATTATGTATTTCGCATTACCTGTTTATACATAGTTACAATTAACTTATCCTTAGCCTACATTATTTATTAATTTTTAATTAGGTAATCAAATATTATTAAAAAATTAAATTTTACTATTAAGTATCCTTCACTCAGTAACCAATTTAAGTTGCGTATTTTAAAATATACAACTAACATTGTAAAATCCTTTAGTTAAGGAATTTGTCTTTCATAATTTCTAACCTTGTCCTGATAAAAAGTAGAAAAATAATCTAATACCTATGTTTTAAAGTTTCACACTTAGCAACACACACAGATTTTTTAAGAGATATGCTACTGCAGACTAGTTACCTTACGGATTATATCTTACGGGATGGTAAGCAATCGGCGCAGGCCTTGTACACCGTGCCACACCAAAGGAGTTACGAGTGCGTTGCTGGCCTGGCCTTTTTGATATTTAAGGATTCGGGAGGGCAAAGAATTGGGACTCCGGTAACGAAATACGTAGCTGTGGTTGTTTAACGCTCTGGTTTTCTATAAGACCGTGTGGTATCACATTTGGCTCAAATTAGATTAGGTTGAAAATCAAATATTTTATATCATAGTTCTATACACAAAGCATTCACCACCATCACAGTCAAATGATTGTATCTTTTACAACAATGGACATTTCAGATATACAACTTATAAGTACTAGCATAGCAAATAGTAACTACAGCTGCAATAAAACAATGACAAAAATGTTTCTCATAATGATGTCTTTCTTTGGGTTTTTTAATGGAAAACGTTTTTTAATAAAATGAGAACAAATAAGTATAAACGAATAAACATGTAAGTATATATTTTTGCCTTGATCATGATTGTCTAATATATTATTACAATACAGAGCACACGATATTTGGATACCTCAATCCTTCCATATTACCTGTTTTGTGGGAAGGGGTTGATAAAAATCTCACATCTCACTCCCCTAGTGAGGATCCTCACTAGGGGGGATAGTAGATTTATCAAACAGTTACATGTATAAGAACCCTACAATCTTCCTCAATGCAAAAGACAGCTAAACCTGCAATACAACCGACATTTGCACAAACAAAACTGCATGCAGCAAAAACATACATTAAAATAATATAATGTCAGTTTGCATTTATTTGATATTGAGCTCCAAAGACAATGGCTGCATTAAAAAACATTAATGAACTCACTGAAGGTAACTGACAGAATGTTAAAGTTATTAATAAAATATGCATGTTATGATTGTATTTATATATACTTGTGTCGTATCAACATAATCAAAGAATAATCTAGACACAAATCTACCTAGCTACCTAGAAATGGGCACTTAAAGTCTTTGTGTCCAAAAAGTTATCTTTATGCTTTTTTTTTGAGTTACGTACCTACTGAGTACAAAAAGGTTTTAGTTATCTTACAGGTTTTGACCTGATTCCAATTCAAAAATTCCTGATTCCACATCATCAGCCCATAAGTGCCTCGAGAGATGATCTCCGGCCACCGTAAGCGCGGACGGCGAGTAAGGGTAGCTCGCCGCCCGTATGGTTCCGCGCGCGCCTCAAAGAGCCAATAGACCACCACAGACGGGGCCCAATAGGGCTGATGTACAGCCGGGGTTCCGGAGTAAGCGCAATGAGGCTCTCGTCTTACCCTGGGCGGGAGAAGTCATTGGATGAAATTCCCCTGACAAAAAAGCCCATAAGTGCCCACTGCTTGAAATTGGCCCATTGTTCAAGGCAGATTAGTGATTTCAAACTTAAGAATCTACTTAACTTAGAAATTATTAATTAAGGTTAATATGACAGTTAGCAAAAATATACATATACTAATATTTGTTGGAAGAAAGTGTTTTTGTTTACGAGTAAAAGCCAGACTCAAATGTTAAATAGTACCTACCATTTAACCATTGTCCAGTGTCTTTGGCAAGGTGTCTAACTTCACAATTATGTTCAAATTACAACAAAAATGAGTTTTAAGTGCAACAATTACATATTTCATGGTAATTTACATAAAATTACACATTGGGCAGCTTTAAGATATTAGAATAAAGTACCTACATATTTAGTTTTTGTCAAGTGCATTCAACTATATTTAAAAATTTGTTTGTTAAAGTAAGTCATTCAGTTGTCCTTGTTTTAGAACACTGTTCTTTGCTAACCAGATTCTTACAAGATCTTTATTATAAACTATACTAGCTTTTGCCCGTGACTTTGTTCGCATGGAATAGTGTCTTCATGCTGATTTGTTTTAAAACTGTCCCATTATCTTTCTGGATTTCCAAACTTTGTCTGTACTAAACGTCACACAAATAGGGTCAGTAGTTTAGGCGTGAAGAAAAGACAGACAGAGTTACTTTTGCATTTATAATATTAGTTTGAAATTTGAACAGGTGCCGTCAATTGGGACTGGTCAGCTCCGGACTGTCTATTGTCCTTAAGGTTATTTTCTTTTTATGTTTCAATACATTTAATACATTATTCAGTTATACATTTAATACATTTTTTTTTCCAGAAACAATATAATCAATGGAAAGCATATTCTTACATTATCCTCTAGATTATCTGCTAGATTCAATCACAAAAATTATACCAATAAAATGGTCGACTTAGATGTGAAAGAAACAATAACAGACTATCTCATACCTATCTATGTATATAAATAATCTTAAAAGACATCATCTATGTACACAAAAATGTAATAATCTTTTTTTACTAATTACTAAGCTGGCAACAATATACTATAAAAACTTTTTAATTATTAGTGTTTTTAGTGCTATTAGTATGTCTACTTACCAGAATTTTTATTGTTATCAATTAAAGTTTAATATGTATACAGAAATGGCAAAACATCCTGTTTATTTTGTTTTCATTAAAAACTGATTCTTGATTCAATATAGTATATACCTACTTTAAGTCCTAAAAACAGGTAGTTTTATATTTTATTAAGTATTTTGAAGCAGTTTAAGCAACTGCTAACAGAAATTGTTGAGGGCAAATCCTCTCCCAAATCATAGACAAGGTCTGGAGTTCTATGCATACATGTTTGCAGAGGTTGAATACTTAAAAAAAAACTTATACTTATTAATAAACTAAAAATCCAATGAAAGCAACAGGTTTTTAAAAGATGTTATTCCAACAACAGTATTTATTAAAAATACTTTCTTGATACAGCTTTCAACTACCTATTTATAAAAGTATAAAAAATAGTTTTTCAATTACAAACACTAATAGCATCGAGTTGATAAACAGCAGTCTTTAGGCTCTCCAATAACATTTAAAATTAGAATTAATAGTACCAACCTAATAAAACTAGGCAATTATGTATAAACAAGTTTTAGTGTAAAATACAATTCATTAGGAAGTTCTTGTCATACATATTAATAAAAATAATTTTATTTTGCTAATTGATTCTTATTGGAATCTTATAGACATAATATTAACAAGTTTATCAAAGTTTAAAATCTACTAGGTATGAAATATATTTTATTACAACGGGCTAGTCTTGCAATATGACTGTAAGGAAGCAACTAAATAAAACAAGATTGTATAGATTGCAACATTTATCTATTTGTAAAGTAATTAAATTACTGATTACTAAACTTCTACCTACCTACTATAAACTACTGGACAGTAGTTATAGCACCACGTCAGACTAAGGAAAGCATCTAATCAACCACAACTGTCTTTAGAGCATAATGGCTAAAATCTTGTTTTTAAAACATCAAAACTTATGTACGTACCTGTCGTGCATCAACGTCGCAGCGACACGAACGAGCCAGCATGGCTCTCACGACGCAGGAACCGCAAACAAACACCAATACCACACTAAACACGTACTGCGACGAGTAGATTAACTTTACTCACCACGTTCACATCACGCACTATTTATCGGTTACACTAAGGAATCTCGATCCTTAAATTATTACACAAACCACACTGTACACAAATCACTAAAATCCAATACCTTACACAGAAACAGATTGTACACAAATAAACCACCTCCGTGAGACTACTTGCGAAAGGACATGTCAACTAACTACGTCAAACGATCTCAAGTATACAAAGACAAAACATTACAGTTTAACTTATTATTGCAAGTATGTTTAAAGAACTATTTTAATTCACTAGTTGGATACGGAAAAAAATTAATGTTTTTCGTATTTTTCGATTGGAGTGCCTCAAAAATTGCGTTATACAAACAAGCGAACCTCCGCTTAGCGAACCTACCGAAAACTGGAACAATATCATTGCCAACCGAACAAGAAGAAAATTCTTACAGCTGACAGATTTGACATTACTGACAACTACTGGGATACCAGAATAAAAATAAAATTTCTACTAAGGTGACTTAAAATTTATTTTGTCTTACATAAAAATGTTAAATATTTAGTAATGTTGACAAGTTTAAAGATTGGCAACGAAAAGAAGTTCAAATATCTATATATGTTATGCTCAAAGTCGAGGTGGTCTGTAGCTGTGCTTCTCATGAATGAGGGTGCGGGTTCGAAATCTGGCAAGTACCAATGTGACTTTTTACGAGTTATATTATGTACTTTCTATGATTATTTAGACACCACTGAGAAACGGCGAAGGAAAACATCGTAAATAAACCTGGGCTTATAATTACTTACTACAAGTTTGAAATCGCCAATCCACCTTGAGCAAGCGTGGTGCTATTAATGCTCAAACCTTCTCCGCGTGAGAAGAGGCCTTCGCTCAGCAGTAGGCACTTATAGGCTGTTGATATGTGATGTGATGCTCAAAGATCGAAAATGATTTTCACTACGCGTTGTTGTCCCAGTAAAACATCTACATAGGGGTATTTTACATTATTGTGTGTGTGTGTGTGTGTGTGCATGTTTTGACTTCAGAGAAAGATCAAATAAACAAGTGAAAATTGTGTCGTGGTTTACATGCGATTAGATCTCAACTCGTTATGTATATGAATAAAAAACCATTACGCTTTCTAAGCATTTGTTGTGTTGACCATATCACGACGAATAGGTTGTAACTTGTTGGTGTCGGCTCGGGTACAAAGACGCATTGAAGTGTCAATTTTATACTCATTTATTTTCTGTTTCTGAGAGAGAAAATGTCAAGAAAATATTTAGAGTACTTATTACTCTTTCCAAATCTACCAATTCCGTAAAATTTTAATTACGTTACAACCCTTCTCGAACGTCATGAATTACCACAGATAACGTATTTTTGCTCTTATCTATGATTAACAAATTAATCTGTGAAACCCAAAACCACAGAACATATATACTCTAGGGAGCCCAAAACAGAGTGGTTCCTGTCGTCATGTTGTTATTACCGAAAATATAATGCAAGGGTTTGTCGGAATTTGAGTATGCGTTATGCGTATTTGAATAACAATATTTTGTCATACCTACAATGCAACTTTAGTGAAACATTTTTATTTTATGTGTACAATAAAGACCTAATCAGAGAAGAAATCATAAACAAAACTTATATTTTTTTCATATATTTAGCTTAGAGCGGTCAACGACCGACGGCAAGGTCAGGGATTAGTACAAATGGAATAGGAAATAAAAACAACACAACTAAATTTTAAATCTGTAATCACAAGTAGGAATCCGAAATATCCACATTCTATACAGGCAGTAATGTACCTAGATTACGATTTACAATTTGAATTTAATACCTACTTCGGAATATACATACCTGTAAATAGTTATGACAAATTTCAAAGTAACACCTTTACAATTTAATCAACTTGCATGCTAAATTCTTATTAGCTTTATTTGCTAAAAAATCAATCAATCATTAGAACATTTATAATAGGCTCATAAATGTAAACTCAACTTTATACTCAATTGTAAGAAGGAAGAAGAAAATCATAACAAAAATGTTACATCACAGATAAAAATGTGAACAGAACCCACACGCTTCAAGCTTGTCATATAATAACTACCATGTACATAAACCGAATTACGGCTCAAAATTTGTCTGGTATCGTAACAATAGCACTAGTAAGGAGAAGTTAATTCACGACAGAAAAGTCATTTTTCATAAAGTTTTCAACTATTGCCACAAATTATATTTAATAAATAATTAACTAAAACAAACACAACACTATTAGATACACTCACATGTAAAAACTCAACAATGTATGACATTGCAGGTTTCAGCATGGTCCATTCACAACATCAGTCTTACAATTTATTCAGTAGGAGTATGCTCCCAGGTAAACTGAATGGGCCCAGTCGAGATCTGATATCTACGGCTCTAACAGCAAAGTAGTACTTGAATCCAGCCATGAATTGTGTCAAAGTACATGCCATAGGTAAAGGCAATGCCTTAACATCTCCAATCTTCTTCCATAATGTGGTACTTGGGGGACAAGATGTTTCTTGGTATGCATACAATTGGTAGCTTGCAATCTCTTCATGACAGTCTTCTTGGTAGCTCTCAATTTTCCAAGATATGACTATTCCATTCTCCACTTTAGACAATTTGATTTCTGGTGCTGGTGGTAATGCTTTCCAATTTGGTGGCTGATATTGCTTCACCACATCAGGTAGGGGAGCTGGATGTCTTCCAGATGTTTGTGGCCTTACATTGCTAGTCATTCTAATCGAACTACTTGGTATTCTTGCAACTTGAGGACTAGGACCCTTTGGCCTTAAAACTGAAAAAGATATAAACAGATAAGTAGGTATGTTGGGAAAATTATTTGTTTCCCAGAAACATATTAAAGTTCACTAGTTTATTGGCATTTTATACTAGGATTAAACAACTTACCTGGTGAAGGAACAGTCTTCAACATAATAGTTTGTCCGGGCCTTATATTTTGATTCTGCTGGCCACTAATAGGAATGTAAACCTTCCTTGGACTATTAGTAGCACTCACTGGAAATGATTGTCTTGGGGCAGCCATAAGATTTTGAGATGGAACTACTCTAACCGGAGGTGCTGGTGATGTGCGATTGTTCACTTTTGCTGGTGGCTCATCATCAGTTAAGTCTACTGTCACAGCCATTACTCTATTGTGTTGTCTTTTTTCACCAACTTTTTGAGGTGATGGATTCTTTACTCCATTTGGCAAGGGACTGCCAGCTTTACCTGGAGTTGTTTGATTGACTAGAGGTATAGAACTCGGAGATTTTATAGCAGGATTATTGGCTGGCACAAGCCTAGGTACTGGAATGTTCTGCATATTATTAGGCAGTGCTGGTTTCTGAAGTCGAAGACTATTTGCGTTTGCTGGTGCAGTTGCCTTTCCAGTTGGTCGGTTCATCACTGGCGAGGTACCATTAGGATTTTGAGTTTGTTGTTGCTGTGGAAGATTTTTTCTTCGCTGTCCAGATTTTTCCATAAACACTTGCATGCCAACAGATCGAGTTATTTTAAGAGGCGTAATAGGCATGTCAGGTTTTGCCTTTTTCTGTTCCTCCTGAATAGATTTTAAAACCACTTGCAGATCTAGATTTTGCTTAGTGAGCATAGTGATTTTTTTTCTGTACTCTTCGACACCTTGAGCAACAGATTTCAGTTTCAATTTAATGTCACTTAAGCTGCTTCTGTCTACAATACTCTCTACTATTTTTAATATACAGAATTCTTCCAAGTCTTCCCTTGTCATATCAGCAATATTCTTTTTTGCAGATGTTAGAAAGTTATCCGGTATAAGGGGTAGGACCGGTTCAATTTTCAGATTTTTTTCTTCTTGTTGCTTTTCACTTATGTCGATTTCGATATTTGTAGACTTTACATCTTCCATAGGTTTCGATTCTGAAATTAGAAAAAAAATATTAGTTATTTTAAGCCTATCATTTTAATTATAGGTAATTTTTGACAGACATTATGATTTTATTCAGATGTGAAATAAATATTGTTACTAACCTTGTGATTCGCTTTTTGCGAATAAGTCATGTTCTTCAAGAGGTTTTTCACCAGTTTCAGAATCTATTTTAACATCAGGTTTATCAGGGTCGTTCTCCTTAATACTACTATTTACAGTCGGAGGTGTTTCAGTCTTACTTGTGTCTTCATCAATAAGCATGATATCATCATCATCCTCTATATTAATGCATTGTTTTTCACTAGATTCTACTGCCTTAGTAGGCTCTTCTTTAGGAGCTTCCTCCTCATCATCAGATAATATATCAAGTGTATTAGATAATTTACATACAATAGGTTGTTCTTCAATATTGCTAGGCGTGCTTGGTGTATCTTTATTTTGTTTTTCAGAATTTTGATCATTACCTTTTGTTTCTTCAATAACTTCTACATCCATGTCATCTTGATCGATTGGCGGTTCATTGCCGAGAATAACTGCAATGGGTTCTGCATCTGTTATATCCACCGTCATTGTGCTTTCATCATCTTTTTTGTCATTTTCTGGCAATTCCAGTTTTTCGTTACTTTTATTGGCATTTTCAGATTCTGCACTTTCTTCAATGACTTCAACATCATCTTTGGGACTAGATAATGGTACTTCTGTATCTACTGTTTTATCTGTATCAGATTCAGATTTATTTACATTTATCGTGTTAGTAACTGCTTCAGTACCTTCTGTTGTGTCACTTGCTACTTCAACATTGTCAGTTGCCATTTCAATATTATTAGTTGCTGCTTTAATATTATCAATTGTTTTTTCAATACTATTAGCAGATGCTAATTCCTCACTAATTGTTTGTTCTATCACAGTTGATGTTTCATTATTAATAATCGTTAATTCTTCAGCAGAATCATTATTTTGGTCTGTATTGTTTACTTTACTTACATCACTTTCACAGTCAATTACTTCCTGGTTTTTCTTTATTGATTCCTCAGTACTGACAATGCTGCTCTCACTTTTTCCATTACAATTGTTGCTTTGAGATTCTTTTGTTTCCTGGTCATTTAATGCAGAGTTACTTTTAGTTTCTTTACATTTGAGCCCATTACCATTTTCCAGTTCAGTATTAAACGATTTTATTTCAATTTGTGCCTCGGGCTCAACATCCGTATCATTATTTTGTTTGTTAATCTGATCGTTTGTATTTGTGTTACCCTCACCAATATTTTCTTTGTTTCCGTTGCAGTTCTTCTCACAAAGTTGCTCAATATTTCCATTACCAACTTTCCCAATATCTTCAATCGCAGACATATCTTTTTCTAGGGCTAGAGCGGGCTCAGAGTCAATAATTAATTGCATTGTTTATCATTTCCCTTTATTGCAGAAGACGACGCTCCACCTGAAATTGAATAGAATACTAGTAAGTACTTAATTGATTTAAGCACAATCTACACACCAATTTAAAAATAATATAATTTTCTCGATATACTCGTGTTGAAATATTATTATTAATATCCTATTTTAATTATAAAACAAATTCCGTAAACTAACCCTAACCGCACCATGACAGTTCATTGACAGTTTATTTACGATACAAGTAACGCCATCTATGACAAATAATTCGAAACTCCAAGAACCGCGCGAGCGCGACGACCGTGCAGACCCAACAATATAATGGCGCTAGCGTTCCGTGATAAAGTCCACACTCAGCCCGTTTGGAGAACACTAGATAGCTCATTTATGATCAAGCGTAAACGACATCACGATGCCGCATGCGCGAAACGGAACGGCGTGCTATGATCAATGGCTTCTCCTACAAAAGAAAAATCAATCTAATTCAGGAAAATAGACGTAAATAGCCTATAGGGATATGCTCACATTTTCTCACACGCAAAGAAAACAGAAAAGATCTCAAGGATAAAACTGAAACGAGCAAAAATAAAACTTACGATATTTAAAAAGAACAAAAGTGAATAAAATACGAAAGCAGCGTGGGACACAGCTGACAAAAAAGGAGTTCGTCGACCTTCCTCAAAAACAAGATTTCATCAAAGATCATAGCAAGAATTTGTAACAAATTCTTGTAGTTGTGAATGCACAAATATCACATCAATTAAGTGCGTTAATACCAATTCAAAGCAAGACACTTAAAAAAATGAAGAGACGACCAACTATTGAAAATTGGAATAAAGCTAGAATCCTGACAACAATTGTTTAGGTACCTGGCGCCAAAGACTATCATGACAAAACACGGCTTCTTGCAAGTGCCTCAAAGAATATTGCGAAATTACGGAACACGAAAAGTACCTACCTACGACGCCTCCCTATCATTAGTCAATAGTAATTTATTAGAAAAAATCTTGTTAAGGTTACAACGAAATACCAAAATAAGTGGTAAACAAATTAAAATATTTTGTAGCTTCCCATTTGGCTTTTAATGAACGATCAAATCAATATTCATGATCTAAAAATAGCTTCAATTCGGTTTCTTAGAAATGGGATATTTATTTCGGCCGTGCGAATTCCTAAAAATTTCTCCAGTTTCCATAATCACTTAATTCGTAGGGTACCTATTTATCGGGGTTGCGGGGCACAGCCACAACCCCTGTGGGGCAAGCGCAATATAAGACCGCGGATTCAGCCTACAGCAGGAGAAGGAACAGGGGTATAGTCAGTAAGAGTCTGGCACTCCTTCTCGCCTCACCCTGGGCAAGACGAAGTCATTTGATGATTTTTCTCTCACAAAATAAATCCTACATGAATTAACGCACATTTTTCATTGGTAATTGCCCTATTAACCGACCACGATGACGACGTTAAAAGTAGGACATCGATTTTGAGATGAGGATGAATTGTGATTCCCTGTCCTTATAGGTCACGTTTCCGTAAGGATTGAAAGTTTCCTCTATCCTATTTTCATTCGTAAGATAAGCCAAGCTCGAAGATCCTTTTTTAGATTTTTTACTACCGTTGCCCCACGCTAGTATTTTCTTCTGTGTCATAAATGCGTTTACAAACACACAATTTTACATACACATCACACCCAGACCCGGAATGACCATTGTAGGATCACCATATCTACATATATGTGATCTAGGATAACTCTTGGAGTTATTCTGTGCGGGAATCGAACCCGTGATATGTTACACGGCAGCCGGTCCAGCCACAAGTCACCTGAGCAGTCAAAAGACTGTGAAGTCAAAAAGTCAAAAAAGATCCTAAGCGGAATGTCAAACAGAGTTAGATGAAAAAAATCCCAATATTATCAAGACATTAAGTACCTATGAAAGTAATATAATATAGCATAGATATAAAAGCTTGAATAAAAATGTCTTACTTTGACGTAAATAAGTTGTTTAATATACAATGTTGATCATCAAATCAAGATGGCCGCCATCGGATGGCGAATGAAATACCGGAATAAATTCCCCACTCGCTTGGTGCTCAACTGCACCGCTGATCGCCGCCAAATGCCCAAGCGAAAGACGGAACAGACTGCTGTTGCATTCACTCAAAGCGTATCTAACCCGTGCGAGAGAGAGCGAGATATAATCATCCAGGTCTAGCGAAAATAAATGGAACGAGGTGAACGTGGAAAGCCGTATGGGAGACTATTGAACGACCCAGTGCCAACCAAAATCTATACTGATGATATAAAATACATAGCTTGGGCGGATGAACGAATAGATGGATGTTCAAAACGGTTAGATGATTGACTACGCTAAAACCTGATCTGGCACAGAGATGAGCTGGGATTAACCTGCAAAAATCTACAATCTTCGTCAAGAGAGGAACGAAGCCATAAGTTTTTCACTGCCCTTTAACGCAAAAATTATGTAGGTACATATTAGAATTCTTATTGTCTTATTGTTGTAATGATCAAATGACGAAAAAATTTATCGCAACAAAACAAAATAATATCATGGGGATCGTTTTTTCTATAGAGGAAATTTCTCCAGAATTATCCTTGTGTCAAAAAAAACCATGGAAATAAAATCTTAAACCCAACCAAAGTTGCAAAATAATGATGACATGTAATACCTAAACTACAAAAATGAATTCGACAATCACATAGAACCAAAATAAAAATAAATGATCGCACAAGTGATCGATTTGCTGCTATGTTACACCTTGTGCCTTTCGCAATAAGAACTGTATTCGCTTGAATTAATTTGCAGGTGTTACGAAGATAAACCGTTACACAAACAAAACAAACACACAAAAGGAATGTTTTTTTACAAAAACAAAATAAAAAAATTATTATTAAAAAAACAAAATACCCGACTGCACACTAAAAAAAGAGTAAAACAAGCCCCACAATACAAATTTACTGAATATAATTTATAAATGTTGATGGAAAGCATCGCAGGCGGGGACCAACAGAGGCTTATTTATAGTCATTTCTGTTGTGCACCATTTAGCAGAATTTTCGTTGGTGGCGGTCAAGGTGGTCCCCGCCTGCGATGCTTTCCATCAACATTTATAAATTATATTCAGTAAATTTGTATTGTGGGGCTTGTTTTACTCTTTTTTTAGTGTGCAGTCGGGTATTTTGTTTTTTTAATAATAATTTTTTTATTTATAACTTTTTAGCTGTTTTTTTAAAGGGAAATTTAGAAAAAATATTATTATGTCTTTATCCCGTGGGACTTTTAGGATAAAATGTATCCTATGACACTCCCGTAATCAAGACAAATCTAACGATACCTCATACATCAAAATCCATCAAGCCGTTTAGGCTACAGGAGGTCACAAAGGAACAGACATACATACATACTTACATACACTCGAAAAACATTACCCTCCTTCTTTGGCAGTCGGGTAAAAAATACGCCGTATTTATAAATAAGGATTTTACACTACTTTCTGCTGCTGAAGTGTTTTTTTTAAATATAGCACTAAATAAAAACATTATCATGTTTTTAAAAAGCATCACGGGCCCAATCATGGATGCATTTGGCATAAACGTTACACATTCTGTCAACAGACGCAAAAGGAAGAGGTTGTCATCAAAGAAGTTTTTGTCAGAAAACAAAATCATATAAAATGAAGAATCAACAATGCTCAACAATTAGATCTTTCGTCACGATACGACGGAAAACTATCCTGAGGTACCTATAAAAAGTTCAGCTGTCCGCCTGTGGGGTGATAGTCCAGGAATACGTTGGACTGAAGTACTTACTTAGTTGATTTTCTTCTGTCATTTTACTTTGGAAGGCCCATAGATTTCTGATCAAGAGTTGAACCAGTAGATTCAAAATTTTCAATCCTAGACTTAATTACACTCTCACCGGGGCACTAATTAAGATCATTCCAAACTGAACTCCGAACGAAATAAGCGACGAACAACAATGCACGATCCATCATTTTTGTAGTAATATTTCACACAAAACGCACGCTGTGAAGCCGTGAAACGATCCATAGCGATTAATTTCAATTTCCGAGACTCATCCCCACCCTTCGCTGCAAACACTACAAACGCTTTAATGTTTTTAAAATCTTACTTCTTTTCGATCACCCTGTAGAAGAACAGACGAGAAGAATACAAAATATAACAACATACGGGTATACGGTTTCGCGTTCGAACCGGCACTGCCGCTGCCAGCAGCAGATAGAGAGAGAAGAAAATGGCGGCCACATTCTACCGAGTATTGCCGACAGAGAGCGGCGAGGAAACACGAACGAATTGCGGAGTTGAGTATAGTGACACGGAGAGCCGCGTCCCGCTATCGTTGTAAACACGTGGAGGCCAAAGAGCGAGATAGCAAAATTAACGTTTCAAATAAAGGAAAAGGTAAGCACGCTACTATCGGCCCCTCGCGAGCGTTGCTCCTTGGTCTACTCACTACTTAATACTCCGTTTATTATCGTGTGCAGCGAGGTCATGTTACGTATACGATAATGGCGGCTCATTCTCTTGCGCTCTACTTCTGTTTCTGTTTGATTGTTTGATATGAGTGACGTTTGTGATAGCCGTTCAGCAATGAGGTAGAGTAATAAAGCTGATAATAAAAATGTTAAAATGTTACATTTTAATGTAAAGGTTTAGCAGCAAATCTATTTGTAGCTTGTATTGTTATACAGCGCGTCAATGCCTACCTAAAGATTTATACGAGAGGTATAAAATTATAAGACCGTAGGTAAGGTACTAATTGACTTCTGGTCGTGCGTCGTGTCATTTGGGTTCTGTACAATTTTTGGCCATTCTTTAATGGTCTTTGTTAAATTGGGCCAAATAATATTGAATAGCCCCCTAATTTAAAAGATATAAAGATAATAAACGAAGGAAACGTACAAAATGAGAGAAATTATATAACAAAAATAGTTCCATGATGTGAACTGTTCGAGCAATGGGCGATGTTGCCGTTCATACGCTGCCAGTCGAGTCGAGTGGGTCGTTTGACTCGTTGCCGAGAACCCACGATCGCAGCCGAACACGCCCGAGTAGAGCTATGTGTCAGTATAATACGTCACTATAAAAAATAGAATGTTTCTAAAATATGCTAAAATGATCACATATTCGACTTGCCAGGCCTGAAACATGTCATGTTACGTATACGATATGGCATTGATAGGGTCATAATAAGTTTAATAGGCTAAAATGTGCATTTCTATTTTAAACACCATTAACTTCGGATTCGCAAAAATATTTCACTATTTACAATGAAGAAAACCTGCAATTAATTAAAAAAAAGAAACAGTAAAAGTTTAAATAAAATAAAACAGTGAAAAAATAATTGAAAATTATTATGACATAATCTGTAGAATCTTTGGACCCGAGTGTATCAAAATTGTAAGCGCGCCATGCATTGCGGCTTTAGTTCTAGCATGCGTAACCAGATTATTAGGCGAGACGACAATGGACGCAAACAGTGAATAATTTCGACAAGGCAAATTTCACAGGAAAATGGAGTAACTGCTTACTTATATATTTTTACACTAGTTTGAACGGACAATGTCAATTGCTAATTAAATAATGCGTACGAATCTAAATAAAAGATGGTAAGTATTACAGATTTTTTTCTAAGAAAGTTTTGTAGGAAAGTAACTTATTACGGTGGTAATTGAATATACCTATCTAATTATATGTATACTTAATCTTATCGTTTTAATAATACTTATAAATGTCAACAAGTGCTCACGACCGCTAAATTCATACGAAGTAGACAAAACCGGCGCAAACAAAGACGGAACGATGCTGAACATCCGAAATGACCTAGGAGTAAGTGAGGCAGAAGAACTTACGGCAGTCTCTCTCTAAGCTGGACAATAAACAAGATGGCTGAAAAATACAATACCTACTTCGAAGATATTATTCCTCCGTTTGACAAAAAACAATTAACGCGAGGAAGGTACAGAAGAAACCACAGCAAATAAAAGTGATAATGCATTATGATGCATTATTAGGTACTATCTGTATGAGTTTTTCTATCGACCTTTCGTAAAAAAGACCTACCGACTACCGTAGAAAACGGATTGTAGTCAGCCTCGAAAACTAAATAATCAATCCAAACGCATAGATTGAATAAGAATCTTATCATTCACAGCAGAAATAGAGGTATGAGTAAGTGGATGTAGGTAACGTTAGCAGAATGGCAGCGACCAGAACCAGCGGTTTGGCAACGCTGCACAAACAAGTTCGTGACGGCTTTGCGCGCCACCCGCTAGCCAGCATATCAATTTTGCAGTCAATGTCATGTTCGGTTTAGTCTGTCTACCCGAATCAAGACTTAGAAAAAGGAAGTATGAAATAGAAAAAAATGTACGCCGTAAGTACCATTTTGAAGTTTTGACAAGCAGAAATGTTAGACCAGCTAAAACAATGAGAAAATAAAACGTTATTTTTTATCATTATCAAAGTCGGGTCATTTTACCGCGTGCCAAATACCAATTTATGTTGGTTGGTTGAATAAAGAAGCGCGACGTTGCCATGTCTACTCGGCCGATATGAGATAAGTAGGTATAAGTACCTAGTATAAGTACATGGATTCCTATGACGTACTCGTGGGTGCCTATTGGAATGATTTTGGTTGAAGTTTTAAATAGGTAACAATTTTTTAAAAAATCCTAAAGTAATAAAGAGCTCTACAATTATTTTCGTTGTCCTTGGACAAAAATAAGGCCGTTCAGAGACTGGTTGTCCTTGAAAATTAAGCCACAGAAGATTTGACAGAAGAATGTTTGTTTTTTTTTGTTTGAAGGTCAATTGAAAATCATTGTCTTAAATCCTCTGTTAACTTGAAAATAAATAGGTAAAGCAGAACTCACCTATTAGTCTTCAGAGGAGTGCAGTCAAGCAGTAAAATAGAACGAGCGTCGTCGGAAGCGAACTCTCTCCAAGCAAAGAAGATCGTCAAATGCGAAATTGTAAGATGTGTGCGTGAAGCCACACGGTGAATGTCGATGGGCAGTCGGCGCCATTTTGTTATGCGACGCTTCGCGAGTCGAACCGAGACAAAGATATGTTGCTGTCCTGTACTGGCGCGTACAAAATTACTACAACTCGCCTATAGGGACTTACTTCTATTCTTTATTTGTATGTTTTACTTCTTCCATGCTCACTCCCTCCTCACTCCTTCACTGTTGAGTTGACTCAATGGGTGTCTTCTAACACGTGACTAGTAAAATTTCTAAAAATTTCTTATTGGAAGTAGGTCAACAATACCGTTAATAATGTTTCTATGTATGTAAAAAAATTGACACTGTCATGTCATGCCGCCGGCTCATTTGTTCTTCAGTCTTTTGTTTGTTCTTTCCAATTTTGAATACCTAGTTCAAATGTCATCTAAACCATTGTTTATTCTGTAGGTATTGGTGGATACCTGCCACCCAAAGGAAGATGCTATACTTTACTTAGTTCGAACTGCTCGAAGGAATATATAATAAACAATAGCAATAGCATAATCATGATACTAAGAAGTAAGTACGGACCTGTGGTAGCTTGGTAAATGGATATTAAATTTAGTTGTCTACAATAACTCATGATAACTTCAGTAAAATGCAGAATAAGGTGCACAGGTGCCGTTTATCTCATTCTGCGTATCTAAGTACGTCTTAGACTTAAGTTCAATAAAGGATAATTGTGACATTTAATTTAGAATTCATATCGGTGACAACTATTACATTGCATGTCGTTGTCGAGCAAACAACCTACGACCAAAGAGTATGTAACCACTACGTTTACCTACGACTATGATAATCTTAGAACACAGACCTATCAAAATTATGTTCCGTCTACTATTAGTGACATCTGTTGCTTATATTTTAAACAAGTTTTGATTGCATCGTACCTTCACAGTTGTTTGTTGTGGTTGGAAGACCAGGTATTGTATCTGGTTTAGTTACTGGTCAACAGATGACGCTACTAAATCAACACTTACTTAAAAAAACTATCATAGTTTTGGTTACCTTTTTAAAACGAAACAAAATATTTTTTTTGTTTATAATAAATGAAATGTTTCATTAACACTTACAAAAATAAGTATTTTTTTTTTGATCCGCGTGGTCATTAATTAGTTGCTTTAACTGTCATTCATGTCTGTCATATTGACGTTGAATTGAAATAGTCTAATGTCAGGCAACATTTGAATTAAGAGGTTATGAATTTAGTAAACAAATGGTTTTATTCATAAATAACATTAATATATTAAAGACAAACTTTTAAACTATTAAATATATACTTATTGCTGTATAATTTAGGCTGAAAATACTTTTTTATAATAGGGAAATGTTGTTTAAAGTTGTAAATTCGTCGAGAAGAATACTGGTTGGTTGTGTTCGATTTTCTAACAATATCTGTAAAATAAATAAATATACTAAACGGGAAGTAATTTCAGAGTCCACTCTGCTTAAGCTGTCGAGTGTCTGTCGTCACAAAATGTTACTTTAGCGAAGGATTGGACCAGAAATACAATGATGTTGAAAAGGAGAAAATCTTACAAGTTATCAATAATCCTGATGATAGTATCCTCTCCGGGTAATATTTTTATTTGTTTACATTATTATTTTAAACCAATTTATTTCTCCTGTTACATTTTAGTTATGAAAAGATTTTGTTGGTTATAAATCCACCCCCATGACTACACACTATACTACAGGCCATTATTTGACACATTAGTCTAAGTATAAATTTAAAATACTACGATCAATAAGAACACAAACTTTTTATTTCCGTTTCAGTTACGAAGTTAGCAAAGCTAATCTGAAGAAAGTCTCACAATGGAAAAGTAGTAATGGACAAATGAAATCTTTATCTGATATAGAATACATTGACGGGTTCTCAGAGAAAACAGCAAATAAATTATTTAGGAGCATACTCAGTGGTCCTTCTAAAGAAAAGAAAGCAAATGGAAAAATAAAGGGGCAGATCTTACATCCATATTTAAGTGATAGTGTTTTGAAGGTAAATCAATTTAAAACTCATTTTTTATTTAAAGAGTCTTGTGATTAAGCAGTCAAATTACAATATAGTAAGCAATCAGCCCTGGCCATGTAAAACCTTACACCGGTGAAGTTATATTGACCTTTTCATGTTGTTGGTCATTCAAGGGTAGTGGGGTTAGAAATCTACCACTTGGTGAATCTCGCATTATTGAAACTTTCTATGAGGCCTTGGTAGCACTTGAGATGAGCTGGCTCATTCGTCATCAAGCATGACTCTATCTATCTACACTAATATTTCATGCCAACTACAAAGTGAACAGATTGTATGGTGCAAAGTGTGGGTGAGGTTACTAGAGGCCCAATCTCTCCCTCTCTCTCGATCCCTTCCCAATCGTTAAACATCCGAAACCCTTTTCCCAAAAAGGCTGGCAACACATTCGTAACTCCTTTGGTGTTGCGGGTGTCCATAGGCGGCGACGATTGCTTACCAGTAGGTAAACCGTATGCTCGTTTTTCGACCTATCCCATAGAAAAAAATATAAGATTTTTTTTTATTTCAGGAGTGTAAATCCGTATTGTCAGTGTATATAACAGTGAACTCTGTGAGTTGGACGTTAATAGACAAGAGCAGCTATGAGGTTCAAGAATGGAAGTATTATGGCATAGACTATCCAGAAGGCAAGAGGTTTCAAATTACAGACATATTGGATATTGTAAGTTGCCATTTGACTTTTGGCCATTTGTCGCGGAAGGACATCACTATATAGTATAAAACAAAGTCACCTTTTCTGTCCCTATATCCTATGTATGGGGGTGTAGGTTCGAAACCTGCCAAGTACCAATGTGACTTTTTCCGAGTTATATGTACTTTCTATGATTATTCAGACACCACTGGCATACGGTGAAGGTAAACATCGTGAGGAAACCTGGACTTATAATTTCTAATTATAAGTTTGAAATCGCCAACCTGCATTGAGCAAGTGTGGTGATTAATGTTCAAACCTTCTCCGTGTGAGAAGAGGCCTTTGCTCAGCAGTGGGCACTTATAGGCTGATGATGATGATCCTATGTATGTAATAATCATTAAAACTACGCAACGCATTTTGATGCAGTTATTTTTTAATACGAGTAGATGATTGAGCTGGACGGTTCGTGTTATAGTAACATCCACTAAATAGTGAAGAAATTTATAGCATTGCACTCGTGCGAAGCCTGGTCGCTAGTATATAGGTAATAAAACATCAAGATACGGCCAATACGATCTGAAAACAGGTAAAATCTCGCGGTAGACTGTAAAAAATGCTTCTGGCATTAAATCTGCCATTTTGCTATTGTGGGAAAAAATATTTTAATAAGTTTTCTATTTATTGATTACCTACTAGCTATCCGCCCTGACGTCATACTAATCTTCTCCACTATTTAATGGATGTTTTATTATACATAGAAACAACTATTTCGGATTTAAGAACGTTTTATACTATGAAGTGATGTTTTCAAATACCCCCTTCTAAGTAGCTAAGTCTAGCCGATTTTACTGCTGTCTGTCTAGGCCTGGCGAGTAACACAGCAGCTTCCTCATGCAGACATATACGTGATGAAGGCAGCCCCCACCACGCTCAGGGCAGCTGGCAGTGACCCCAACAACCCCAAGGTGTTAGCAGTCAACCTCCAAAAGGCACAGATGGTGGCCATGATCGTAGCTTTAATTAATTCTAGGAATGCATCGTTGGAACCGTAAGTTTTTCAAATGTTTTTCTATTGTCTATATATATATATTGTGTATTGGTTATAAAATCAGAGGTCGGTAGCGGAATACCTACTCTCATAAATTAACATATTCTTCAAAGTTGCGATCACCAATATTCTTGCTAAGACTAACTTCCAAGGTATTTAAAAAATGACTTTTTGCGTTAATACCCGTTTAATAATACTTATATTGTCTCCTTGCTAAGAGTTGAGATTTTGGCTCTATCTTTTTCTTGTGGATGAGGTCCGGAGTGCAGCCAGGTTATTTTTTTATGTGATAGGAAGGCAATCGAGCAGGCGGATTACCTGATGGTAAGCAATCAGCGCCGCTCTTGGCCATCTGCAACACCAGAGAAGTTACGAGTGCTTTACCTCACTCACACTGCGAAACACAACGCTGTGGTGGTTGTTTCACACAGGCTTTCTTTGAGGCCGCGGCATTACTCCTTTCCTTTCTTTGAGTCGACCCATTCGCGCTGCTCCTATCGAGCTGACCCATTCGCGCTGTTGTTGATGGTCAGCAGATAACAAAATAATAATTTTAATGGAAGCAAGGCATTTAGTTTAATCTCCTGGTTGGGGCTCTACTAATAACCAATTATCAGTAAATATAAAATTAATATTGCGGCAAATTGTGAGTCGGACTCGCTCTCGACGAGTTTCGTTCGACCGCACTAAAATAAATCACAATTGTTGTACAGGAGCCCGGCTGAAATGTTTATTTTTTTTAGTCATTGTTGTAAGAGCGACAACAGATATCTATACTTTTCAAATTTGAAGTCTAGATAAAACCGTTTATGAGTCCCAGCCTGGTGACAGACTGATAGTCGAATGGGCAGCAGAGCCTTAGTAACAGGGTTCCCATTTCAACCATTTGGCTGCGAAACCTAATTTTTGGCTTTTATTATTTCCTTAAAATTTTTCTTTCTGAAGGTAATAAAGATAATTATTGTTTTTTTTAAATATGAGTACATACAGATTTTACTTGCAGATCTAACGAAGAAAGTGAGGAGAATGTTTTGAAACAGAAAGTGTATTTTCTAAGGCCTACACTTCCGTACAGGTATGTATTGAAGAATATTACATTTGCTCATTAAATGATGTGTAAAATGTACATTATTTCATTGCATTAAAGCTCAAAATAAAATGAGCTCAAAAGAAAATATGTAAGATACTTTCCTAATCATATTTTATTGGTCAAATATTTGTATTAGAAACATAATGGAATTATTATATATATTTAACGATACAAAAAACCGAAAAAAACATGCATCAACAACTGGCATAATTCCCTTTTTCTACAGTAGCGCCACCTTGGCAGTTTGGTGGATAAACTTTCATTTATTTCTCTATTAAAGTTAACTTCATTGTACGTCATTCTTTAGTCAGAAAGAGTAGCCACAGTTCTTATTTGTTACCAACGGCATCTGTAGATGACGCTAAATGCGTTTGAAGTTTTGGTATGGGATAAAGCTCATAGATGGCGTTGGCTGCACGTTGCTAAATTTTTTGTCCTGATAGTGCTTAGTGCTAGATTAAGCTTAAATCATTTATTGCAACTACACTATAAAAGGAAGCTTTTTAAAAATGTTCTCTAAGTTAAAAAGTGGTTTCTAATAACATCTTATGAGTGCCCACTTCTGAGCATAGGTCTCTTCTCACACGAAGAAGGTTTGCGCACTAATCGCCAAGCATACTCGAAGCGAAACCTCCGAAACTCAGTGGATGGCTTCGGGCTGTTAATCATATGATTAGTGATAGATATACAAATAGATGTATAAAAAGTCTACCTATGTTCAGATCACCCATTCATCAACATACAAAATGTAGGGGATTGCCGTTAGGCATTACATCCATACAGGATATTGTGGTTATTTCTGAGAGAAATGATGCACGTGTTAATATCAACTCCATATAATTGCGTCTGACTAACTAGAAACTTGAGGGCGCAGATACATACCTCTTAATCTGCCAGGTAAACTTAACCCTAGCTTTGTCCGTATTGATGATACAGGGGGGTTGAAATAGCCGTGAGACGCTTTGTGAAATGATGGTACGGACACGGGCCGGGGCCGTTTTGCTCGACGATTAGCTGGGGCACTGCCATGCCTCTAGATCTGTTCTTCTAGTTATTTTATTCAATTAGCGACGTTATCGTCAAACAATAAAATTTTGTTATGCATGTTTTTTCTTAGTACTGTTTTTTGATTTGTTTGCGTTAATAATTTGCCGGTGACTGTCCCCGAAGGTTTATATGACTGGGTCTGGGTGTCTTTAAGACCTGAGTAATTAGGTTGCTAATGACTGGTCCATCCTACTCGCATCATGGCTTACCACCAAGCGAGATAGTGGCCAAACGTCAGCCCATCAAGTAATAAAAATAATGTAGCTTATTATTTAATGAACCTTACTAATTTGTTCCAGATTATACGGAACCCTAGTGGGCAACGAAAGAGTTTCAACAGACCAGACTGTAGAAATGTTACTCCAAGGTTTTAGTGAAAAATCTTCAAATAACTCGCATGCCTTCGTGCCCAAGCCTTTACAGGACATGTTCAGGTCCCAGAAAGACCTTCAAAAGGACATGTTGGGACATTGTCTACTTCTCAGCCTGACTTTCATGGATCTATGTATATACAACAATAAAGAAAAAATTGAAAAATTAACTCGACGCGGTGAGTGATTGTTTGTGTATAAACTTATGCTCGTATGTATAGGTAATTTGTTAATAAGTAGAAAATGAATATATATATTTTTGAATTTTAATTGACGTTTCATTGTTTTAGGCCTAATTTTGCAAATAGCTCTTTTATAAGTAGATGTTGTGTCGATATTTTTTTTATTGAGGGGAAAATCATCAAATGACTTCTCCCTCCCAGGGTTGGGCGGGAGGGAGTGTCAGACTCTTACTGACTAAAAATCCTCCTGTTCCTTCTCCTGCTCTGGGCCGAGGCGCCTCATTGCGCGTACCCTGCAACCCCGGCTGAAAGTCTGTGGTGGTCGGAGGACTGCTCCCTCACGCGGTCCGCCTCCCTCTTTGCGAGCATAACTGCTTGACAGAAGCAGGAGACGGCGTCCCAGTTCCTCTATAAATTTAAAGTTAAATAATAGTTGTTCTCATTGATAGAAACTAGAGTGCTTCTACAGTCCCAAATGTTTTTTTTTTTTATTGGGACAATACCACCACAGCCTTCTCGTAACGCTGCTACTCCTGTAAGCCAAGATCTACATGACATACAAACATTAGCAGCACCTCTCAGGACCATGAATAACAGTCTTGGAGCCTGCAATGAAAATAAATTAAAATATATAGAGAAGAAACCCCAAATAGTTTCGTTTAATCTTTGTAAAAGTTTGACAATAAGTAACAAATGGATAAGTCGAGAGTCTCAATCACGTATTGTTGATACTTCTTTGTGATAGGTCCTCCTGGAAGCCAGGATTTACAGCAGAAACAACGAAACACAAAAGTTAAAGTCTTTGGTTGTGCAAAGGTCGAATAAGGCTCGTACGATCTCGTCTTTTCAAAATTCTCAGTCTGGTGTATATTTACCCAAAGTATGCCTCCAACTAGCTAGCTGCAGCCAGGTTGTACTGTAGCCTCGGCTTGAAGCAAGAGAAGCAACGGGGTGGTTTTGAGTCAGCTAGAGTCCAACATAATAGAAATGATTGAAAAAGAGTAACCGTGGAGTTTTTTGCTCGTTTTTCTCCATCGAAATCTATCCAGAGTGCAGTCCGACAGACTGACACACAATTGAACTTTTTGATCTATTTTTTGACGTTTTAGTGTCTACAGTGGTAAAATAAGTTATTAAATAAATGACTTGACTTCGACTTCGACTTCGACTTCGACTTTGACTTTGACTTTGACTTTGACTTTGACTTTGACTTTGACTTTGACTTTGACTTTGAACTTTGTTTTGACTTGACACTCCCTCTCGTCCCAGCCAGGGCAAGAGAAGTCTTATTCTTACCTCAAAAAACCTATGCTCGCCTTAGGTACCTTAATTTTATAGGGTAGGTCAAAAATAAAATGTAACGAATAAATAAAACTGCAACGTATTGCTTCAGTTGGACTAAAAAGTGTTTATTTGATAAAATACAACGAGCTTACTTTTTACAACATTTTACTTCTATTAATGACAAAAAAACAAACAAAACCCTTAATACAATAATAATATACATAAATACGATGGTATCAACTTCAAACGTATCATAAAGTAACTAAAGTAAATGCAATTCTAGGCAAGATCATTAAAATTCAATTAAAATACAATCTAAAGAAAAAAAAGAAAAATAATGTACCTAACTAAAAAAATAATTAAAATATCCTTTTAAAAGTTATATAATAATATCAAGAAAAATCCTAATGCAAAAATTCTCTATAGATCACACAATTACACTTTTGACCTAACCAAAGTTGAATTTTGTATTTAATACTGATATTATTCATTTTGGAAGAACTAGAAAATATATTTACAATTTTTTTTTTCATAATAATACCGTTTATTTTTATTTTCGACAAATGCCAACGTTACAATTTTTTCGCCTGGATTTTGTGACCATATCGCAACCAACTGTTTTCTTCGAAACATAAAATATGTAATAATGCTATATTAAATAAACTGAAGTCTGCTGTTACTGTTGTCTGTAAAAAGTTCGATCTTGTATTCTGGGATTGTCTAAAATGAATTTCATATAGTCTACTTTCGGCTCTGTAGGTATGTACGAAAATATTCTCTATTGTAACTAACATATGGACTGAGGCTGTTCGATGCTGATCCATTCAGACCATCTTATTGTATATAAATATTTATTTATTTCACTGTCATTATATGAACATCTCTATTGCTTATAACATTAGAAAAACAAAAACAATCCTGTAACTTACGAATCTGTTATAAATATTGCTTCAGTAAATAATATATGTATTTATTTAATCAGCAATGGAACAGCTTCAGGGATAACTCTGTAGAAACCTAACAACAGTGTAAAATTACCAGACTATTGTATATTACAATAAATATGTACAATTAATGATATAACAGCACCCAATAATGGAACGAACCTATGCCTCAAGATACGCCGCCTACAGCGCTTGTAAATAAAATATGTATAATATCACCGCTTTATTGTATATGTCTATTGTATATAATTGTATAATCTGTATATGTATTGTACTATTATTTAAAACTGTTATTGTATGGCTTAAAATAAGTATTGTAGCAAAAATAAGCTGCGTAGGCGACGTAGCTTCATCATTTATTATACTTGAAAACTTTGCATTTAATAAAATCTGTAAAAAACTCAATCCAGACTACAAGATCATTAATCTAAATATGTCCATATTTTTATTAAAAAATTCAACAACACTTATTTTACTGTGGAACTGTTTCAACAAGTCTCTATTGTGATAAAAAAATTATTACTTTGTATCTTTATTGTTTCCGACAGCGGTTGGCGAGTGGCAGTGGGTACAATGATACGTGTATACTAACTTTATCAAATTATTCTTTATAGGCCATTTTTATGTTGGCTACCAATTATTTGTATTAACACTAATAACTATTTTTAAAATAAGTCATTTATAAAATAAATTATACAATAATATCGCCAAAAAATCAAGTGTATTGCACTGGTACTGCACTAATTGCAGATATACGATTTTATGTATAAACTATACAATTATGCGAATAACACTTATCGGGTTCACACATTAGGTCTGTGGTTGTCAACGTTTTCTGGTAGGTTTCAACAGAGCAGGAGCCCAATGTGTGAAACCAAAATTTATACATAAAAAAAAACTTAAAAGTATCGTCACAAATTAAAAACGCCGTATTATAGTTGTGTATTACGCTGTAAATGGAAGACATTAAAATAATTCGTAGCCAACTTGAGAACGAAACAAAACTTGTAACACTAAGCTCATACAACATATTACACTGACGTACAACTGATACCTGATAAAAGAGGTACAGTTAATTCAGTTTTAATTTGCGACCAAACAGTAAAAATATCCTATGTGTATAATGTACAATGAATGGGAACTTGGTTTTGTATAATAAAATTAAATGGTAATGTTGAATACACTATAACTTATATTATATTGCTTGATGCAAGTTTATAAAATAATGTGGATATGTTTTTGTTATTTATTAGAAACAGAACTGGTAGGTCGACTTGCATTCGCCAATTTTATCATTACGTACGTAGACCGTAAAATTTCACCATGAGATCACAATAAATGCATTAAACAAAAAGGAATTACTTAATTGAAAAGTTTTCTGTTATTGAAATGTTAATAATAACTAAATTAATTAGATAATTGTTTTAGCAATCTTTGCAATGTTACAGTTACACTTACATCGCTTCCGAATTGTATTTAATACAATTGACGTTATTCTGTTATTTATTATGTTAGATAGATATATGCAAAGTATTGTTTTACAATGCAATCTTATTCTCTCCTTTTTATATTTTTAACAACTTAAAATTATACGAAATTAAGTAGACATAATCGATATTGAGTTAAATACGAAGATTGTTGTTTAGCTATGAATGGGTAGAAATGCATCAGGTGCTATCGAAGGTCTTGGCTCCACGATACTAAAAGGGCATAAACTCGTAAGTACTGGAATTTAATTCCGTTCAAGGAAAATGTTTGCTAGACAAGAATTGGCAAATGGTTACTGAATCTAACTTCTATCCTATGGGTAGTTGGTAAGAAATGTCTGTAGGTATAATATAAATAAATATTATGTATCAATAAAGGTTAGGAACATGCTTGAAACCTAATTAATGTTATGAAATGAGCGGTCGGTGAACATAATCCGAGAGACATACTGTATGGATATCCGATCAGAACTGGACGGCACGTTTATATACGGCTTGACACTGTTTACTATGGATTATATATCGTGAACTACAAGATTTGCCAATTTTAATGTTCAAATTGTTATCTTATTGGGACTGCGTACACAGTCGAAACTTTTCAGCACTTAAAAATAGTTTCATAAGAAAGCAAAACCGTGCTCTCAAAATATATTTTACAAAATCATCTTGTACACAATAAAAACTAAACGATTAACTTTATAGGTATACATACACGTGTAATTGAGCAAAACTTAACAAAACAGTGAGCAATACAAACAGAACAGCCCGGGACATGTATACTGTAATCCTTTCAATGTCTAAATCATTCTGTGTATCAATTGAAATCGATGTTTCGATATTTGTTGGCTTGGCTTACAATTTTCGTCTGCAACATTCCGGTTTCAATAAAAACCCAAAATTATTTTCATGTGTTGCAACACTGCCTCAATAATTTCCAATGATATGTATTTACAATAACCACACTGAATGTAAGTAGTAAGTGAAAATGAAAAAATGTTGAAAACCAACGTGCATTCGAAGATATAGAAAGTTGTGCAAAATGGATATTAGCATTCCAATTTCGAATCAATTTTCCACAACTCCGGTATAAGTAACTCAACAGTCGTTACTTCGTTAGTTACTAAGCACGTTGCATAGGTACGACACTAACTTTAAGACTATTTCACATTTACCTTTTTAATAATATTGTATGTAATAAATGTATAAAATATCATCTGTAATCTCTGTATACTTAATCACTTCTTGTTTCATATTTAAAAATTAAATCCATTTGTATCGGTATAAAAATCTAATAAGTATAAATCTGAGGTTATTTCTCGGCTATGGCACTGTGTTGTATGTTTGTATTCAAACTTTGTACTAGGGTGCGACGCGCCACCCCCGCCCAGTATGGATCAAATATATCTTTCATTGTATAAAAATACTTATCAACTATTATTGTATAAGGCTGCTCGTGGGTCGTATAAACTATAACAGAACTGAATCCTATGCTATTGTGTTGTGAGGCGGGGGCGGCGCGGTGCTGCCCTCTAGGAGGATCACATGTGAACAATGTGGAAAACGTTAGTCACGGAAGATAAATGTTTCTAATTTTCTTCGATAACGATGTTTTTGATTGTAAACCTCCGAAAGTTTGATAGGAAAATCAAAATGGAAAATAAAATGCTAGTTTTGGCGTCAGCTGTGAACGGTACTGGCTTAATCGATACTGGTGATCTAAAGCTATCGTTGTGTTACTCGATTTGGAATCGATTAGAATCGTATACAAGATTGTTTGGTTCGTTAAAACGTAGGTACTTCTGCTGCCCCGGCGCAGACGTTCACAACTGACAGACCGATTAATTTTCATAATTGCCCAATGCGATAAATTTGTCGTAAAATCAACACACAATAAACCCACTAAATAATAATATTGCATTGATCACTTGGTAGTGACAAATAATAAATTGGTTATGTGACTCCCACGAATCCACCTTACTATTACACCTATATTTAATTAACAGTTCATATTATGCGGTAGGAAAACGAAACCATCACAATAATATAGTAAAATAAGCTATATAAGTTGTCTATACATACAAACAGAGATAGTAAAACGTTAAAAAGTTTGCTGGAATATTCTGGCACTGCTCGTAGTTTATAGTCTGGGAGACTCGTACAGTGTCTGGGCCTGACCATCCTTAGATTTTTTATGAATTTTGATTTTTTGGCAGATATATTAAATATATCCGTGTCTTCGCACAGTATGAATCCTACATATCCACGTAAACATTTTGTTTGAGCTGCAACATTTTGTTTAATGGAAAGACGTGAATGTGATCATGTTTGAGACTCATACACACTACCAGAATACTCCACCAATGTTACAAATTCATATAATATTTTTATTCTTCCTAAATTCTAAGTTATTTCGCGATGAATGATCGAATTGCTTGGTAATTCGAAAATCGATAGTCTAAGTTAAATTAGAAATAAGATTTACTCTGGCATACCCTCCGTCCCTTGGATCAAACTACAACAAAGCACTTTGCGTCATCACACATTTTACCTAACATGGTAAATTTTACTAATCTCACTCATTCTAATAATGTTATCAAATCAGTCAATCAAAAGAAGAGGGCGGCCGCGTCCCGCCAGCCACAGAAACATACGCTTTAAACAATTAAAATTTAGGAACATAAATTATTTCAATATCGACACGACTCATATAAAAAGCAATTGTTTGCACTTGTACAAAACGTAAAGGAAAACTTTCAAACAGTCACTCGAGCCCACAACGATTCCCGATCTCGTTTCGACACACGAAGATTAAACGCTAAAATGAGCGAAATAGACACCTAACCTACCTAGCTATCACAGTCCTCTCTCAGTCTGACCCTTTCCTCTTAAATGCATCTCATTTTGTCACATCGTTGAAAAAACTGGTAACAACCTAAACTAGGCCAACTATAATACAAGCTGGTAGAAAAAATTTAAAAAATCACTACGCTATTTGGCACCTATAGTGTTACGAAGACATTTCAGTAATCTCACTTGTATGTAACCGAACGTGCGCAACACTAACAAAGTAAGTGTCGATGGCAACAGGTAACCTACGTTTTTGGTTTGCATTCATGATTGTGTCCACGATGTCCACCCCGCGTCGCACTCGTGTCCCAGCTCTCTTTACACCTAACTCGTTAACTCCTACCATTCCTTATCCTTACTTTTAACGTATTTTGAGCATCATGGATTCCTGTATAAAACCCCTTTAATTTGCCAGATTTTATCTCTTAATACTCGTAAATAAAATTAACTTAATACATCTACAAAATATGTATAGGTATTTATTACAATTAGGCACAACGTCGCGCCAGAAACATTCATCGCGAAATATTGTTATGTGGTAAAAGATCAATTCTTAATTTTTAGATTTCAACGAAGTGTTTTAAATCCTAATCTCCGAGCTAGATCCGCTCGGGGCGTCTGCGAACATTTCAGCAGAATCGAGAATCACCGAGAAAACTAACTCTTACTTGGTAACTTAACGATTACGGGGCAAAAACGCTAACTGTATTCGCTTCTTCGACGGTAACACTACACGTGATGAACTTTGAAATTGTACATCGCGACAGAACTCCCGGCAGAGTATAAACAGGACGTTATTTACAGATCGAAGCTCGTTTTACAGCGATCCGGTTAATGATACATCGACTACTGGTAATGTGGCGCGCAGATAGCGCGGTCGTATACTTGTGGCGCCGCGTGCTCAGTTGTAGAGGCGGTCGGCGGCGTAGAGGTCGTGGTGCGCGTGCGCGTGCGTGGGCGCCGGGTGCCACCGCGGCGGTGGCGCGGGTCACTGCGCCGGGAGACACGCCACTGGCGCGCCAGGCCCCACTGCGGGCTTGAACTCGGCCCCTGACCCGGGGAACTGTTGGAACGGCGGAGCGTAGCACTGCGGGAAGTACAGCTCGGGCTTCACCACAGCAGCGGCAGGCGGCAGGGGTCGCGGGGTCTTGGCAGCGTCAGCGCGCCGCGCTTTAGCTGCGTGCGGGTTCATGTGGTTGTCGATGTGCTTCTTTACTTCTGGCTCTGTGGCGAATCGTCGCCTGCAGTTGGGCATTGGGCAGCAAAATGGTCGATCACCCTGGTGCGTCCTTGTGTGCTGATCCAGGATCGCCTTTTGTCTGAAATCTTTGCCACACTGCGTGCACTTGTATGGCTTCTCACCGGTATGGATACGCAAGTGCTGGTTGAGGATGGTTCGCTGGCGGAAAAAGCGCGGGCAGTATACGCAGCCATAGGGTTTCTCATTGGTGTGGATGCGCAAGTGTTGCGTTAGATGCGATTGTTGTCGGAAACGCTTGCCGCATTCTGGACAAGGATATGGGCGGGATTCTATGTGAATACACCCGTGTTGAAGCAGCGTCGACTTTTGTTTGAATTCCTTTTGGCAAATCGGGCATCGTACGTACAGAGGCATTGCTCTTCCTCCAAGTACATCAGGTAGCTTACCACCTTTCAAATATTGCAGAGAAAGACCTGAGCTGAAAACTGAATGATTGAGACCTTTCGTATCTTTGAAGTAAGCTGGATACTGTGCCGTATCGCCTGGTGAGAAGCAGGAACCGCGCTGGTCACCGTTCTGTCCATCTGCGTCGCCGAAAGTCGACTGGATCTCTTCTTTGTTTTCGTCAGCAGGGAATGGTACATCTTGGGGCCAAAGCGTTGGAGTTGTTCCATTCTTGAAGATGAGATGTGGTGAAACATCTGTAATAATTGAATGAAATGGTGAGTCACTGCTGTGGCGTGGTTAATTGAGGAAAACCGACGAGTGGGTTAATCAAACTAGGAACGGTTACAGGAGCGTCCGGCGGTCGGTTCCGCGTCTCGCGAGCGCCCTGCGTGGCTTGGGCGACGAGGGAACCGAGAATTTGTTTGATAGGAAGGCCAATGGATGCGAGACCGAATCGACGGTGCGGGGGGCGGCGGGGAGCGCGGGCGCCGACGGCAGTGACCGGCGTGGTCAGTGCGGGCGGCGCGCGCGGGGGCCGGGGGATATATATGTGTGAATAGCGCTCGCCTTGGTGTGTGCGGACGTGCTGGTTCAGGATGGCCTTCTGGCGGAAATGTTTGCCGCACTCGCCGCACGTATATGGCTTCTCACCGGAATGGATGCGCAGGTGCTGGTTGAGGATGGCGCGCTGCCGGAACGAGCGCGGGCAGTACACACAGGCGTACGGCTTCTCGTTCGCGTGGATGCGCAGGTGCTGCGTCAGGTGCGACTGCTGCCGGAACCGCTTGCCGCACTCGGGACACCCGTACGGCCGCGAGTCCGTGTGGATCCGCTCGTGCTGCAGTAACGTCGACTTCTGCTTGAAGTCTTTGCCACACGTCAAGCACTTGAACAAGCGAAGCTCTGAATTGGGGTTATGTTTCCGGGGCTTTGGCGGCTCAGGCTGCACGATGTCAGGTAGGTGGCGGAGGTCAGGCGCAGCGTACTGGTCTAGTGGACCTTCCAGGGATAGCACACCACCATTTTGTTTCAGGTAGTGTAAGGGGAAGCCACCAGTACCAAGCATGTGGCTTGCTGGTCTCGCTTCTTTGAAATACGGCGTATATTGTTGCTGCAGATCTGGCTGCGGAACGAAGCATGGCGTTCGGTCTAAGTGGTCCTGTGTAGGAGGCTGAGGTTGTGGCTGACTTTGGAGTTGTTGCTCCACTTGCATGTGTTCTGGAGAAGTTTGTTGTTGTTGTTGCTGCTGCTGTTGCTGTTGTTGCTGTTGCGCTTGTTGCTGAGCCTGCTGTTGTGCAAGTTGCTGGGCGGCGTCCTCTGCTGCCGCGGAAGGATCTGGAGGCGGCGGTGCGGGTGGGTATGGGGAAGGAGCTGGCGACGCGAGCTGGGGCTCAGGCTGTGGTGAGGGCCCACCGGGGCTCTGGTGCTGCATGGGCTGGTAGCCACCGTCCAGCACTCCGCCGCCCCACTGCGTGCCTGGTGGGGCTCGCTCCACACCATCTTTGTAGAGGACGTACGGTGTTGTCGTGTCTGGAAGTAAAGAAAATCAATTTTATTATGGTTGGTGGATGATTCATGATTTTGCGCATGACAATTCCTAAGTAAATGTGCCAAAATTCTTGGTTAATCGTAGAAATAACGGAGCAAGTTGGTATCGTGTGATAAATGGTGCGCATATCGCCACAAAGGGCGGTGGCGTGCGACTGGGTGCACAGCACAGCTCGCGACATCGCGTGTCGCGCGCGATTCATAACACTCACTGCGCCAAACGAATAAGAATTTAATAAAATGTCACGTCGTGTGCTACGAGACGTTTCGGTAGTTTCAGCCAGAGAGTATTATGTGATGGACCCCGTGAAATGAGAAAGTTACTGAAATTTGATCACTGTACTGAGAGACGTCTTCTTTCTTTAATGATCAAAATACTTTGTTCCTTTCACTAACAAAAAGTATCAAAATTTTTTGGGAAATCAACTTATAGCAGTTTTTGTATGCAAACAGTTTTGATTACTAGTCTACGAAGTTAATACCCATTTTCTGTTTTATAATCCCTCTTTAATAGTTAAGTGAAATCATCTAAGATAAAAGGAACTTATAAAATGAGCACGTTTCTAATGATTTACTTTCTCGACGTATTGAGTCTGTGGCGTCACAAAAAACGCGGGAAAATGCGACCATTTTCTTTTCCCGCTCAAAGGGAAATGCAAATGGCGGATTGATAGATTTTTTTTTCTGTGTAAATATTGTAAAGTAAAATATCCGTTTATTAATTTGACTTTCGATAATTACGTTGTTTTTTTCATTGTTGACTCTTATGTCTCGGGTCAGGAAAATTCTTTTATCTACAGAGATTTCTAATTTTCCAAAAAAAAACAAAAATTAAAATCCTTTGTGTGGCGAGACGCAAAAAGTGGATGAATTTAGTAAACTTCTGTAAGGAGGTGTAATAATTATTATGTATTTATTTTAGGTTATTATGTTTATAAAATAATTATATTTTTTTAAAGCTATATGGTCACAGATGACCAAAGCACGTGGCTAGTAGTTTGAGAGTAATGGGAACTCATTCCTGCGGTCACGCTTGACATTTTTGACGGCCACTGTCAATGTATCAGGTTCCCGACGTTACTTTAACTGGCATACCAACAAAGATGTACTGATGGTCACTCAAGTGTTTGTAAAGAGTATTTTTGATTTAACTTTACCAGTTTTCAACTATGATTTATTTGAGTTTGGAGTTTGAATTTTATGTCTGGTGAATTAAATTGATTATTGTAAATATCCTTTGTTATTAAACAGACAGTGCAATAACGATTATTTCCATTTGTAATTGTGTTTTGCGAGTTAAATGTATTTTTTAGGTGTTTGCATAGTAGGTATATTTGAAATGATGGAATTATACTAGATAATTAGGCCTCTGCATATTTATGTTTCATTATTTTTTTATAAAATCTCACATCAAGCAACAGCAAAATAAAAAAATAAAATATTAAGTTTTATATTGTTGTAGCCGAGACTACGGCGTAGCTAAGGGCGTAGACGTAGGCCCTACGGCCTACGGAAACGTTATCTATTAAATGCCGCTACGCGACTACGTAATGAAATCGTCAAAAAAGCATAAGAAAAGTCTCTTACATATTTTCTTTTCGTTTAAACTAATCCACATGTTATTTATCGTTGTAGGTACACTTGAAATAGCAGTCGACATTATTAAATTGCCTTTTTCGTTATAAAATAATTGATTTATTACATGCAAAAAGTAAAGTTAGTATGTGAAAAAAAATTTAGGTTTTTGTTGTTGTCTGTACCGACAGAAAGTATACCTACTATAGCAACGGTTTGTGACAGATATCTATAAGTAACTTGTTAATCAAAAATTGTATCGATTCAGTAGCAACTTGACATAATCTTACTAATGATTATTGATATAAAAAAGTTTAATTGAAAACCCGTTTAATTCATTGTGATTTACCAATACACTTGTAACATTGAAACTTAAAAATTCCCTCCAAAAATTAATCAACATGGCTGCTCGTTAAAACCTCATTATCGATTTAGGAGTTCAACTTTTTTTAAAGCGCCGTCATTCGTCATTGGTATAGGCGCATTCAGCCTTATAAAAAATCGTGCACCATCTATCTTGGTTTGGGAAGCCATCGTTAATAATGAAAGCGATCGGCTAAACGTTGATAAAATCATGCTACTTTATAAAGTTATCGATGCCACAATCGATTTAACGATAACTTGATCATAACGAGACTCTTTGATGCTGTAATTCGTTTGCTTTTATTGTTTTTAACGCCTTTATTTTTTATTAAAAAAAAATTTAATGATACTAACACGTAATGTTTCAAATAGAAGAAAGAATCTAGGAATTAGGTTCTTCTTAATTCTTTATTACACATGGAAATCAATATCACAAATCACAATTCTGTTTTACAAATCGGCTGTTTCCGAAACTAAATGTAAATACAATAAATAATAACAAAGACATTGTTTTCCAATATCCCGGTAATAATAATACGCAAACGCGTTACATTTCACTCTTACAACGAATCCTTTGTATTTGAAGCACAAAGACAAAGATTTATTGCCGAATAACACATGTTTATAATCGGGCCACAGATAAAATAAATATAAACGGGATGAAACCAAATGATTTTCTACATTTGACAGCTTAAGTTTTTAATGACGCGTAGGTCGAGCCGGATGCCTGCACATGTGTGTGGTGTCATTTTATATTAAACTTTTTTCTCTTAACCTTTTTTTTAATGTAGGGTTATGACGTATGGACGTTTGGTATCTCGGTATCTTATGGGATTCTTAACCCTTTCAATGTCGGATTGTTAATTTTGATTTGAACGTCCGAAGGCGTGATTACGGTTAAGGAATTTCGACTTGACCGGATATAATTGGGATGTTAATTTTTAATTAAGTTATTAGTTATTTGTTTTTGAAGGAAAATAATTATTTTGTTATTAAGCGTTAAACTTCCAGGTGTTTTAAGGCTAAATGAAATATCGGTGATATTATTTCATTTTTTATATTACTCAAATATCTAAATATTATTAGTGATCATTTTGAGATAAACTTCCTTTTTTCTTTATTTCCCGATGATTATATTCTCAATCGAGATTAATTACCAAGTTACTGCACCATCGTACTCCTACACCATTCTGCTAAATCATTCCATCAAATCACAAAATGTCGATAAACCAAACGCAAGTCAATAACCCAAACCGAACAACGTCACCGGTTTGTGATGCGTTCTCATATAATTTTTATTTGTGACGTTAACGTTTACGCGAGGGTTTTTGACCACGTGGTGCTTTCTTTAGACTTTAGAGGACATATGTGGCTATGGGAATTAAACGAAAGGGGTTTTACATCCTGTAATGTCTTGATTTAATGCGTGTGAAGATGCACGAAGACAGTTAATTAACGTATCTAATTATTGTATTTAGAGGAAGTTACTTTAACCATATCCTTTTGGGTGCAAAGTCATTGTCCCCTATTGACCCAAAAGGTTTTAAAAGATAAAAGAGTATAAATGTATGTGTGTACGTTACTTTCGCAGAAACTGCTGGATGGATTTTGATAAACTTTGTTCTTCATAATAGACCATGCCCTAGGTTAACAGATAGATCCATAGGATAGGGATGTTAGGAGCTACGGAGAGAGTTTATATGTTTCTATTTTTATCACTTTATATATATGTATACGTATTTTACTTAACAAAACAGGACAAGTTTAGTGCAAACAATAACTTAAGACACACTTTATTACCAGAGGGTAGGCAGAAACTGTAGTATTACTACGATACATGAAATTAAAATGTGAAATTAGCAATATAAACTTTGTGCATAAGTGATTATTGTTCGTTTTACGTTGACAACGCTCTGTGAGTGGACATCATATTCAGTAGCCCTAGTTCTCAGTTCAAATTATGACTTAAGTACTATAATTTGAATTAAGAATTACGCGACGCCATTGGAAATAGGTCTTTGTTGTTTCTCAATACATGACTACTTACTAATATTATAAAGAGGGGTATTAAAGAGGTAACCTTTAGAACTGCCCGTCGGATTTCCAAAATTCTATTACTTACTAGCGGCCCGCCCCCGCTTCGCACGGGTCTAACTATCTCGCTATCAAAGTGTCACTTTTTCTTAATCTTCCCCTCTACTTTTCTAATATTTTCTTTGATAAGAACCTTCTCCTGACAATAACAAATACAACAAAAAAAGAGTTAGCAAAATTGGTCCAGGCGTTGTTGAGTTATGCGCTTACAACACATGCGATCCATTTTTATATATAAGATAGTTACATACAGTTTCCATGTTTCTGAGTGCTATAGGCTATAAAATCCTACGACCAATAGGAGCCGAGCAGGGGGTGAAACATTGTTAGTAGCTATTTTTTTTTTAAATAAAAATGGACCTATATGTAGTATATTTTTTATACTTTCTGTCATGTTAAAATTAAATTAAAACTCCTAGTTGAATCATAGTAGTAGAATATCAAGTGTTACAGGTTCTTAACGACATTTCCAGGCAGAAATGGAAGTTGTGTATTAAAAACAATGTGGTTCGGAATATGAGGCAGTAGGCAATGGTTGCAGGATCGGTTGTGGCCGGTGCGCCTGCGCAGAACTGGTTCCGTCAGACCGCCCCTTTCCTGCGCATGCTACGGACGTAGCGTCAGCAAATGTAGTACACGATCGGTTTCAATTTTTATCTTTTGTTTTGAGTTTTTGTTGCTTTAATGGAGGAATTAATGAACTGAAACACTTTTTGAATTATTGATTTAGATGTTAATAATATTATGTAATAAACAGGTTTGTAATGTTTGGAGCAATAGAAATATTCAGTTAAACAATATGGTATATACCCTAAGTAAGTTGTCGTGTATAACTGTTTTTCTCATATTTTCTTCTTTTTTCGAATCTTAGTGGTATCAATAGTACTTGTGCGCAAGTGCTAAGCCCTGATTGTCCGTAACGCCACAATTCTGAGTTTATATAGGTATTGAATTTGTTTTAGGTTGAAGAATGCGCTTTTCGAATTGCCTATTGACCAGGATTCAAGGTTGAATTGTCATATTATTATAGAATACTTTTATAAAATTCACCGCTATCAGGATGATAAAAACATATACATATTAATGAAATTGATATTTCCATATGAAAGAATTAAAGAAAAAAAAACAAAAATCTTAAACGCTGCGCTTGCGCACCGTACAGGGTTCACGGATGGTCGGAGCCGTCACCCGCTTGGCAGCAGCGATCCACCGGATTAAATCCCTAACCAACATTACAATACCATTACACTCATACAACATCAATCTTAACATAACACCATAAGGTTCATAATCCATTAAAATCGTATTTTTTTATTGTAATCTAGATTGTTTTCGAACTTAAGAATCGAAGGCGTGTATTATAATCTACATGATTTTTTGTGGTTGGTTTCGTACGGAGATTTTTGGACAATTACGTTTGATTGCACCTATATTACGGGCGAGCTGGTGCTTGGTATGCGACCCATTCCTGGTTCTGACACATTTCTAATGCAAGGACCTTAAGGCATTTTGAATTTTGAGCTGTAGGTAGGGTTAGTGTGTGTATGGTAATTCGCTTCTGAAATGACAGCTTCTACAAACGTTCTGAAATTACAAACGAAGCTTTATTCTGGCTCTTATAAGTTCACAACAAAAAAGTAATTGAAGTACTTGTAGCATTATGAAGAAAATAACTTTGAATGCCTTTAAGGGAACATAATATTCAAATGTGGCTATTAGGGGATCAACAAAGTAAAGTTACAATTGAAAACAGTCACAGTAACTACTGTTTTGACTGCTGCAATTTATAATAAGTCCGTTGTTATTTTAGCGCTAGTGAATCATCCAGTTACAGAGTTGTATCGACAATGAAAACAGGATGCTTGGACGCGCTTAGTCATGCCTCTTTGTGACTGTTTAGATGCCTTTGGAAGCTTCGTGCCAGCAAGCTTTGTGCAGGTGCCAGTTATAATACACGTTTCTGTTAAGGACTGCAGAGACTACTACTGCTTCAATTGTACAACATCAAAAATCAACTCCATCACAATATTATTCAACAAAAACATTGACATTGACTCGAGGCGCGGCACAAATTGACAAATCAATAATTTATTAACAAAAACCAACAAACTCCTTTCTCATGAATCATGCGACGCATACGGACGAATGCGGAAAGACAAGTGAATGAAGACGTTACAAAAAACCTCGCAAGTGTCAGCGAACGGATAAAAAGTCGTCGGACATTCACAAATTTCACTGCGACAATATAAACGTAAGCGACGTTCATCGGCGCGTCATCGCAAGCTCTGGATGCATTACTCGCGGCAAGTGCAGCATGCGAGTGGGGCCGAATGCGTAACGACGCGAAAGTGACAGGTCGTTTTGGCGGGAGACCGGCCGCCCGCCATGTCTGGCATTGGGTTCTTTATAATATCTACACGACATCGGTACCGGTTGTACGCACCACGCGACACTCGGCCCGCGTCGCGACAATTTATTTCGGTTCGGGGCAATGCACTTATCGCACGCAGCCCTGAGATCTGCGCGTCGACCAAACGAGAGTAAACATGAAACGCGAAGGGAAAAAATAAATGCAACGTAGACGGCGACAAATCAAGGCTGGTCGATTTAGTAGACGTGCTCGGCTCGCCGACGAAGGGCACTTATTGCTATCGGGGACTTGCAAATGGTACATGCGGCAAATGACCCTTTACTCGCTCTCATTCCCTTTTATAACCCACTACACAAGTCGTAAGGCTCTAACAACTTAAATATTAATCTCAAGCATGAAACTGAAAGTGTTATTCCAATCTAATAGAGACACTTTAAGTTTTGTTTGTCCCAAAAGTATCGCAGAATTTTATGCTCTTTTAAATTTTCAGAATAAATATAATAAATCTCTTAAATGGTTTCGGCCGTAATTAATGGCATGTTCGCACACTCGCACCGACTAAAGAATGGCACTGAAGGCAATAAAAGTTTAATACAGCCGATGTAACATGGCGCACTTTGTTATTCCAGAAATAAGTGGACTTTACTCGCCCAAATCGTATCGCAGCACGGAAGTGCAATTCAAAGTATGCTAATTAAAACAACTTTAATTCAAAATGTATTTTTATTTGTAAAACTTGTTTGCGAACAAGTGGGTGGTAATAAAAAATCTATTAATTCAGTAGTCCTGGTGCGGCTGTGTGTGTAAGTTTGTTTGTTGTAGCTTGTGTAGTCTGTGCCCACGGCTGTGCACGGTAATTTGTCAAGTGCACGTTTCGCGCCAAAAGTGACGTTTCACAAATCTTCAAAATGGCGTGCGGTGGTAATTAAACGCGCGCAATAACTGGCCATAAAGCAAACGAAGCGCATTGATGACGCGCCGCCCGCGCTATTTTCAGTGCGCGACGCCGCCCGACAAATGCTAACGGCCTCTAGGACACTCCAGCGGGACACCAGTCACCACCGACCCACCGCAACACTCATTTCTACATTATTTGTTTTTTTTTCATGTTCACTACCGCCAGGGTTAACAATCGCTATATCATTTTCTTACCTAAGCGTGTCCTCTACATTGAAAGTGATTGTAGAAACTCGTCGTAATGCAATGTTACAAGAGTTTAAAATTCCTTGAACTTGTCAAAATGAGTCACAGTGCGTACACAAACTCTTTACTGATCTTGTACTTTTACGCGTAAAAGTACTGAATTAAACAATTTCAATGATTGTAGTATTATTAAGATTCTCTTTGATTGGAATAAAACTGTAGCGTGCATCTAGTTTCTAAGCCATCGAGACCAGTTCAGTAAACTAAACGCATCAATATGATTCATATTATTGTGACAACATAAGATAGCAAGTTCTTAATTTAGAAACGAAAACATATTTTTTGTCTGAGCCGTATCAATAAGAATTTGAAGTTACTCTACGTTAGTTTCGGTTAGAAAAACTAACATATGTGTAGGCATAATAAGGAGATATTAAGGATTTAAAAAAAAATATAAATTCACATCACTTTTTAGCTTTTCAAGAACGTACGTACGTGAAGGGGTGTTCCTCCCTCTAGGATCTTGCCATGTATCGCGGGCGTAAAAATCGTAAGCAAGCTGCATTTTTAAGAACTATCGGTATGAAAAACTTATTAAAACACACGAGTTATTATGCAAATCATAATCTCAAAATCTGTTTATAAAGTTAGTATACCTAGTGAAACAGTTCATGACATTTAAAAATCTTTGATTTGACATTGCACTAATACCTACACTACCTACTGGACAAATTTTGTTATGAAAACATCCAAGATAGAATTTGTATATTTCTAGAGAAGATAATTCTAGACGATTTCGGCAGGTAGACAGAGCCGAAACATGGGTTTTTCGTCTAAATTCTATATTCTTATACAAATCTATATGTACTTATACAAATTTATCCTATTTTTTTTTCAGGATATAATGAGGATATACTTAACCCAAATTTTCATTGAGTTACATAAGAAATTAACATTAAAGTGTTAAATAATATAAGAAATATAAAAAAATAGGTACTATATTTTCGTAACAGGTATATCTAATAATACCAGGTTTATCTAATACATATAACGATGCACAAAATGTGCAACAGATAAAAAACTCCCGCCAGAATGACCATAAACGAATGAATACTGCATGCATATTTTTTAAATTTCAAATTAAGAAGTTACCTGGGAACTAGACTGACTAGTTCTATAATGAATCATGTCGACTCAGGGTCACGATCGGACTTCTTGGAAGGATAATAATTTTGTTCATTAATTTATTTTACATTTGGCCATCGAGTAGGAAGCATTATTAATATTACTTTTATTGTTGCAGACATCTCATTACTAGTTCATTATATACTATTGAGAGTAAAAGTTATTTAGACTTGATCTAAAATGATATTGATGTACTAGAAATACGTATCTAGTCTAGTCTTTGTCTTCGTCTAAAACTAAATAATGATTCTCCGCTTCTTTAATTAAGTTTTTCGAACGTAGCGTTTAGTTTTTGCGCGGATCTTAAAGTTATTATTAAATTTGTAAGTAGGTATGTTGGGATTCTTCGTGTCCGATGTCTTTGTGATGAAATGTGGGCCATTTCCTTTGATTCAAGATTTTAGAGTTATTCTTTCATTTCGTCCTTAAATTGAACCTTATGTTCATTATTTTTAAATTGTGTCTTATAAAACTGATATTTTAATATTATATTTGCCGTAATTTAGTATAAGCTAAGACTTTTAAACGATATATAAAAATATGAACCAAATTCTTTTACTTGAAAAGTTCTATTGTAAAAACTTTTAAATACCTAATACATTTGCAGTAGCGAGTGATTCTTTACAAAAATTAACAATTGTGCCGACTAAAATAAAATATAAATAAGGATGATTTCGAAAAAGTAAACCTTCCTATGACTCCTCACAAACCATCCAATAAAAACATTGATAATAAAGGTACGTTAGGTACTTACATGCTGAACCATACAGGAGGATATTGATTTGTCAAATAAATGTTAAAGTAATTTCGGATACTCACACAGGCGCGTGCTATAAGCATACTAATCTAGAGCATACCTTCACTTCAACTAACAACAATCGAAAAATTTTAAACAAAGTCCATCAAGAAGAACGAAAGAAACAGAACAACATCATAAAATCCACTCGGATTACTAAATAACTCGGTTAAGAAGAATCAAATGCTCTTGTAGAAGACTGCATTCGTGAGTGCTGAGTACCAAAGATGGGTAGTAATTAGGGAGGTGCAGTTCCCTCCGTGTCCCGATCACATCTATTTCGGGATCATTATTATCGGGCAGCGGACGTGACTGCCTACGACTCACACGATTCATCTGTCGTTTAATTATATTTGTAGTTTTTAAAGTTCTTGGAATATTCTTACCAGAGATATATGACTTAGTAGCATGCCGTATTATGCGGTGAGCTAGGTAGCTTTAAAGTCAGTCAAATTATTATTTCTATAACACCATTTTTAGGCAGCAGAAAAGATAAAAGTGTCTGTCGGTCAGTCCTCTAGTGAAGGTATTTTCTTGATTGAAAGTGTAAGTGAGGAAGAATGAGCAAGAAACTTCATGGTTAGGTACTTTTTTCAATCATTTTCGTAACGTAATTCTTTATTACATTATTAAGTTGGTTTCGTTATTTGAGTATAAAAATAATTTAGCCAAGCAGATAAAATCATTCGTGGAATGGTAAGTTTATGAAGATCGCTCAAATTCAGACACCATACTTGTCAAGATCTTTATTTCAAGATTCTAACTGGCAAACCAATGATATAATCCTATATTAGTTAACAAATTACATTTTCTAATCACTTTGAAAGCAACTACAAAAAACGTAAACAAAATCAAGCCAGTTCAGTTCGCCATAGAGCGAGTGTACTCCTATCAAATTATGCGACGCGCGCGCCCTCTGGCGGGACGTGCTGAAGAACCGGCCTACCTGAAGTGGCCAGACTTAATTAAGTGCTCTGCATAACGATCCCTTGCGTTGTGGTCGTGCCATCAGCCTGGTAATGGTTGGAACACCACCATCTTCATATTGTAAGTGGTGTTACGTGGTTGCGTTTTGGTAATTTTTCGTAATCAACGGCTTTTCGTTCGTGCTAATTGTTTTGAGATGACTTTTGTATTATTTGGTGACTGAAACTTAGAGGGCAGAGAAGTTTTAAAATTTCGGTGTTGTTTCAGGAGTGACAGCTAGCTAGGCCCGCGCGGTTTCACTCGCTGCTTGGCTCCATTTAATCGTAGCGTGAAGTTTTATAGCCTATAGTACCCAGGAATATTGTAGCTATCTATCAGTGAAAGAATTATGGAAATCCAACCAGCGGTTCCAAAGATTACCCCCTACATACAAACTTACAAATTTTACCTCTTTATAATATTAGTATAGATATCGTCTATTATAAAAGTTTAGACATCCTTCCGATTATCTGCTTGTGTTTAACTTCACACAGGCGCCAAACATTCAACATTAAAGTTTTTCAATTACATACCTACTTAACCTCAAAACTTATAACTAAACTAATAAAAGATGCCATTTTTTCTCCCTGACAACTTTCATGTTCCATAGCCACTAGTCTAATGAGGTGTATTGCAACAAAACTACCGACAAACAAGGCACCATTGAGACGTAAAAGCCCGCGGTAGAGGGCGCTTGAGTGTGTTAGAGCTATAGGGTGTATTTTTACTAGATTATGCATCGCAAGCTTGCCACCGAGCCGTGATGAAGATCCGTCTAGGATACACTTGATTCTTATGTCGTAATCGACGTAATACTATATGTATACAATATGGCGGATCTTTGTGAGAATTGAGTATCTATTTTCCTAAGTCTAAAATGTATTCTTTGGACTTTTTAATGCTGTTTATATTTATAGATAATTTTCTTGATTTTTCTAGAAAATTCTTGTTAACACGGAGTCTTGTACAAAATTTACAGAAAACTTTTTTTACGATTTTCATAATTCCAAATAAATGTTTGGTTCTTTGTTAAATACCCAATGGTTTGTATTTTGTTTTAATATACCTACATATTTGACGATTTATTTCCTTGAAAACTTCAGAAATGTTTGATGATTTTTTTGAGAGGAGAAAATCATTCGCCTTCTCCAGGCCGGGTACATAATTGCACTAGACCATCATAATCCCATTTACCTACATAGAATATTGGTTATATTACTACGTAAAGGATTATTCATCAGAAATACTTTTTATATTATGTTTGAATGTATAAAACATTAAATGTTATTCTAATTATAACATGCACAAAATGCACATGCAGTAGAAACCAAAACAAACCAATAAGAACAAACGGAAAAAATAACGTTATCGCGAAAAAATAACGATCAATATCGAATTAATTAACGACACATATCGTTTACCTTCTTCTTAATTCTTTTAAAAAAGAAGCAATGGACGCTAATACCGATGTTCGCGTGCTAACTTCAGATCGTTAAATTAAAAAGTAAAAGCAATAAATAAACTTGAAGGCAATGAACCTTTTTTGTAACTTAACACGTAACTTCTGTGTTAAGTTTTGCATTCTGCAGCTGGTTATGTGATTAACGAATGTTTTATTGTTATCTTTAAATAGTCCTTGTTTAGGTTTTTGGTTATTTAGTTTTGTTTTTCAAATTTCGAAGTTAGGTATTAGGTAAGCGCAATGAGGCACCGCGACCTCGGCCCAGAGCAGGAGAAGGAACCTAAAACCCCCCCGGTTTTAGTCAGTAAGAGTCTGACACTCTCTCTCGCATTACCCTGGGCGGGTGAAGTCATTTGATGATTTTCCCCTGACAAAAAAAAAGGTATTGGGGATGGGCTACGTTAGGAGTAAACGCTCTATCCTTAAGGCTGATTGCGAAGTCGATGGTAATAATGACTTTTTTATTGATGTTTTTTTTTGTGTAGTTGGTGATACATGGCGTTCGAAATTTTTATCATGTTTTCTTATGTGTTTAAAATTAATAGCTTGTGACTATCTTAATTACAATTTGTTGAAATGTATCTGGATTTATACATATACCTAGAGGCGGGTATTCTCATATTTTTTTTGTGATTACCAGATTTTTTTTTCTCACCTTCTTTTGAGTTGAACAGAATTCCATAGAATTCAAAACTTTAAAAAACTTCTTCAGTATACAGATTGAAATTTGGTAATAAGTAATTAAGTAGTAATTCGACAATTAAAATAATAACGAAGAAGTTATACGACATTTTAAAATTGGATTCAGAACAAATTTTAATTTTTATCAACTACGGCGAAGTTTTAATTATACTAGAAGTCATTATTAATTTTTGTCATAAAAACTTTTTGGAACTTAAGTCTAATTTTTTTAGAAGCTTGTGTAATTTTTCTTCCATCCGATTCTTAAACGCATTTGCTAAGGATATAGGTTAAGCTAGTTTTGCTTTGGAGCCTAGGTTGATTTGTAGATGGGTGACCATTATCAACCTCAATATAGTCAAGATGCAGAAGTCATTTACATAGGTATAAATGCATTTTTCCACATTAACTACACTTAGTGAAATGCATGTTCGCCTATTCAAAATTCCTTCAGTTTTGGCGAGGTAAAAAACTC